AGCAGCCACAGCTGGTTTTGTGAAACACAGCTTGGGCCTTATATCAACTAGGCATAGCAAATTCTGCTTTGGGAGCTGCCAAATCGAAATTCTGGGTTGCATATAAATTGATTAGGTGAATTCTCACCATCATTTTGCTGTGGGCACAGTGACAGTTAGCTGGTACAAGGAAGACAATGAAGAAACAGAGCTTTTATCTCTTTTTCTGCAACAGTTTTCCGTTGGCAGAGCCAGCTATGAGAGCACTTGCCTAGACTGACAGGAACACCCCCCTCAGTGATCACTTTCCATACATTTTGCTTGAATACTACATTTATCCTTAATTTTGTTGTATATAAAGGGAAATCTTTCATGATTTCATTTTTGATTCACTTTCATCTTCTTGTTTTATTTTGAGGTTTCAAAAATGACCCTAAGTTTGTCTTGAATGTCCTCATTTTCATTAATAGTACTTCCATTCTAACACAGTACTGATACTTACCTATAGTTAGGACCAAAATAATGATATTTTTGATTTGACAAATTATAGTTCCTTATGGTATCAGAACAGTGCATTGGTTAATTCTCAAAGTGTCATTGGTTACAGTACATGTCTTGATAGTAAACTGGCTCTGTCTTTTCTCTGACTTTACCTTTATCACAACTTCCCTTTCTCTTTCTCAAGGATCACACATCATTTTGCATATCTAATCTTTCCCTTATAGAGACTGGTGTTACTATCTAACTGTAGTTGCTTAGAAAGCTAACTGTAGAAATTGTTTTCATTATTGCATTCAGGTCTCTACTTAATGAACTGTATTATAGGCAATGGACTGCTTCATCTTGTTATCAATTTATAATTCATTTAATCTATAGGTATTTAGGAAGTACTTATTCTGAGCTAGATGCCATGGCAAAAAAAATAGCCTTGCATCCTATTGTCATCAAGCAAACTGATAAAAGATGAATTGGAGGCCTCTTCTTTTTCTGTTCATCAGATGTTCATTTACTAGGGTTTTAATACATTTTCACAATCATTATTGTTTGTGCACGTTCTGTAAATTAAAAATTCTAAAAGCAAATATGTGATTGTGTCAGTAACTCTAGCAGCAACAATAAGGTAAAGGAAACATTTACTGCAGCGGGTGTTGTACATTTTCTATTCCCACTCTCTTGCTTTCTAAAACTATTTTTTCCTTTAGAAGTCGCGTAAATTTAGGATAAATCCAAACTTCCTTAACAACCACTGTGGTGACTGTGATTATGGTTGCATTGCCTGAAGATGTGAGAATGGTAATTTATGTATCATTGTGCTGCAAATTGGGAAGCCATCCACCATTATACTAATATTTTAAAAAGCAGATTATTGAGATTTTACAGATATCTGGCTAATTTCATTGTTGCAGCGAAATGATTCACCTAATTCTAGACTTGAACTTAGATTCATAAAAAGAATAAAAATCATTGTAGAGATCTCTTGGGAGACAGTTTGCTTGTCTCAGGATAATACCTGAATATCCTCCTAAAGTTGAGAGTAGGCATATGTTTTGACAGCTAAGTTCTAGAAAAATTTTTGTTAATTCTCTTAGCAGTAATATTTCTTATATTTCAGGATATATTTCTAATATTTCAGGATAATATCACCCAAAACACTATTAAATAGCTATATGAATAAAATATATCCAAAAGTGCAACTTTTTTACTATTTAGGTAGATTTTTAAAATGAACAATGAGCCAGGTGGGAAAGATTTAAGGGAACAAGAACTCTCAACCCTAGAAGTAGATGATGTTTTGGTCTGTGTCTTCCTTGCAGCAAGTGTTTGCTAATGGACCAGGTTTGCTAAAGGGGAAGTGTGTAGATGTTGGAAAATAATCTTGTGAATTACATTTTGCCTGGAGTTCTATTTTTTCCCCCAGAGAACTATAAATAATTCTGCCCATATTCCCTATGAGAGTTATAGTCAGTCCAAACAAAAAACAAAAAACAAAGGAAAGAAGCAACCTTACGGCATCCTTCGAAATTCTCAAATGTTCACCTACTCAAAAAACTACTGCCCAAGGACGCAATGTCTCCTTCTACATGTGATTGAGGTATAGTGTGTCCAAAATCATCTGCTGATAAAATAGTTTCCATAACAGAAAAAAATAATATTATCTGAAGAAACCAACAGTTTAAACTATACACACACACACACACACACACACATATAATATCTCCCAGTTTTAAATTCTCTTGGATTGGTTATTGCTATATTAGTTATTCTAGTTATTACTTATGCCGGGGGAATGGGATCTTGAGAAATAAATTTTGGTGATGAAAAAAGGTAGTGTCTGTTCAAAGTATGCTACAATGTAGGATTTCTTAGTGTCGAGTATATGCTCTAGAAAGATGTGAATACTAAAACGCATTCATGGGGCCAGCGCCATGGCTCACTTGGCTAATCCTCTGCCTGTGGTGCTGGCATCCCATATGGGCACTGAGTTCTAGTCTCGGTCGCTCCTCTTCCAGTCCAGCTCTCTGCTGTGGCCCGGGAAGGCAGTAGAGGATGGCCCAAGTGCTTGGGCCCTGCACCCGCATGGGAGACCAGAAGGAAGCACCTGGCTCCCGGCTTCGGATGGGTGCAACTCTGGCCGTGGTGGCCATTTGGGGAGTGAGCCAACGGAAGGAAGACCTTTCCCTCTGTCTCTCTCATTGTCTGTAACTCTACCTGTCAAATAAATAAAATCTTTAAAAAAAACCTCCTTCATTACCAGACACATGGAGGTGTCTTGATATTATCTCTTGGGCAAGTAACAGGTCTGTGTTCTTTTAGATCTAAATACTGATGATTCAAAAAAGAATGCCAACTTTATATTTTCTTTTTAATAAATTAGCCTTTTAGTTGTGGATTTTTTAAAGATTTATTTATTTATTTGAAAGTCAAAGCTACACAGAGAGAAGGAGAGGCAGAGAGAGAGAGAGAGGTCTTCCATCCGCCGGTTCACTCCCCAATTGGTCGCAATGGCCAGAACTGTGCCAATCCAAACCAGGATCCAGGAGCTTCTTCTGGTTCTCCCATGTGGGTGCAGGGGCCCAAGGACTTAAGCCATCTTCTATTGCTTTCCTAGGCCATAGTAGGGAGCTGGAACAGCCCGGTATCAAATGGTGTCTGAATGGGATGCCGACACTGCAGGTGGCAGCTTAACCCGCTATGCCACAGTGCAGGCCCCAACTTTTTACTTCCTGATAGAAACTTGCTGCCGTAGGGATGAGAGCACCCAAAGCACATCATTTATCTATTCTCGCTTTCTAGACAGAACCAGATACCAGATCACATTCTGGGAAAACAGGTTACATTCAAATCGGTGCTGGATGAGAATGGAATCGGAATAAGGGCAGTTAATTAGCTCACTCTTTCTCATTCTGTACATCAAGTACTTGTACTTCTGAAGAAATAAGTTGAAAGTTCATCATCGCCGTAGTGAAATTCAGGTTTTCCCACGAGAACTATCAGAAATAGAGATTTCTACCAAAACAAAAGACCAAATATGTGCCTACCCTTCTTTCTTTCTAAAGTCAATGAAAATATAAAATGTTAATTTTTCTCAATGAGTAAGTCCATACATATGGATACGATATGCATAATGCTGTAAAGCCAAAACTATTGTGAACTTCCTAAATGTAAAGATAAATATCTAATTGAAGAGTAAGACAATGTTAAAACAATAGATAAAATATGATTTGAATTCTTCTGAGGTGGTAATGAGACTCCTTGCTGGATGTAACATAGGACATTGAGTAGGATGACTTCATTGATGAGCTAAGTCTTGTGTACCTAGATAAACTAAGCTCCCTCTTCTCTCTTACTTGACTGAGCAGTGGTTTCAGTATTATTTGGCCAAAGGATGAAGCAAAAACCGGACCAGGATCCCCGGAACACTACTGTAAAATCAAGACAACATGCCAGGGAGCTATTTGTCTTGGGTTGTCTCTGCTCCATAAGAAAATTCAATTTGCATCCCCTATTTATGACAGCCCTGCTCTATTCTCCCCTATAAGAACCAAGCGAAATGTATAATCAACAAAGCAAGGAATCTAGTTTAAATATGGGCAGATAGTTAGGGATTACAAAATGTATGAAGGAAATTGAAACCACAAAAGTGAGTCATCAAATCAAACCTAAGTAAAAAAGTGACAAAATAGGGTAATAGAGAAGATGGGAGAAAATATTAAGCATGATTAATATTTTGTGAAGAGAAGTTACAACAGCACTGTGGTCATAAAAATAGAATTTTTGACAGTTTATTGAAAAAATTCAATATATGGAATGGGTGTGAATAGGCACATATAAAGAGTATTTATGCCAACATGGAAATTAACATAGGATTTTCCCTTGAAATTAGGTTTTAACAACTGGAAATAATCTATGTAGTCCAATAACATAGCACAGTTAAACTCATAAATGGGGAAAGAAATTAACAAATACAAATTTTAAGTGTAAAAATGAAGAAAAAAATTGGCTTTATAAAAATAAAATACACAACCTTCTGAAATGAGAAAAAAAGGGATTGGAACAGATATTTGGTATAGAGGTATGCCACTTGGTATGCCTATATCCTTATCAGTGGGTTGGCTCAAGTACTTGAGTTCTTGACACTCACATGAGAGACCTGGATTGGGTTCTGGGCTCCCAGCTTTGGCTTGGCCAACCCTGCCTGAACCAACAAATGGGAGATCTCTCTTTATATGTCTCCATCACTTTGCCTTTTGAATAAATAATTTTTCCAGTAAAATTTATTTCCTTTGAAATAAAAAATAATTTAAAAAAATTAGGGGTCGACATTGTGGTATAATGGGTTAAGGTGCCACCTGCAACATAGGCATCCTCTATAAGCACCAGTTCAAGTCCCAACTGGTCCACTTCTGATCCAGCTTCCAGCTCATGCTCCTGGAAAAGCAGCAGAAGATGTTTCAAGTGCTCTGGGCCCCTGCTACCCATATGGGTGACCTGGAAGAAGCTCCTGGCTCCTGGCTCCTGGCTCCAGCCTGGCCCAGCTCCTCCTATTGTGGCCATTTGGGGAGTGAACCAGCAGATGGAAGATTGCTCTCCTGTCTCTTCTCTTCTCTGTAACTCTGCCTTTCAAATAAATACATCTTTTAAAAATGTTCAACTGATAAGAACAGATACTACACTTGATCTTAGCCAAAAGGCCGAGAAGCGATCTTTCTTTTAAAAATGTTAAAAAAGAAAGGGATTATGGAAAAACCTTATTAGATAAGAGGAAGATAACATAAATACATATTCAGAGGAAATTAAAATATGTGAGAGGAGGAGAAGCAGAGATCTTCCATCCACTGTCTCACCCTGGAGATGGTCACAGTTGCCAGCACCAGGAGATTCATCTGGATCTCTCACGTAGATGGCAGGGTCTCAAATGCTTGGACCATTGGCAGGGAATTGGAATGGAAGTGGAGCCACCAGTTCTTAAACCAGCACCCATATGGATGCCAGTGTTGTGGGCAATAGCCCTATCTGATACACCACAATGCCAACCGCAATGAATATGTTTTTAAATTTTTAATCTTACTGAAATAAGAATATACAGAAATTACAAATGGGCCAATTACCAATGAAGAAATTTAAAAAGGTAGCTAATGATATGAAAATTGAATAAATTTATACTCCATGAAATCCCTACCTAAATTCAAAAATTTTTTTTAAAAGATTTATTTAGTTACTTAAAATGGAGAGAGTGAGAGATAGGACGACAAAGAGATCTTCCATCTGCTGGTTTACTCCCTAGGTGGCCACAACAGTCAGAGCTGGGCCAGGCCAAAGCCAGGAACCAGGAGCTTTATCTGGGTCTCCCACTTGGGTGGGAGGAACCCAAACATTGGGGCCAACTTCTGCTGCTTTTCCCATGTCATTAGCAGGGAGCTGAATTGGAAGTAGAGCAGCCTGTAAATGAATCTTTGCTCATAGGGGATTCTGGCATCACAGGCAGTGGCTTTATCCACTATCCTACAACAGTGGCCCAGCAAAAATGGTGCTTTAATGCAACTTGATACACTGACTTTAAAGTTCGTAAGGAAAAAAGGAATTTCATAAATACTCAGGACACTAGTTGCATTCCTGCCATTCATGTGGAAGACTTGGATTGAATTCTAGACTCCTAGCTTTGGCTCAGCCCAGTCATTGGTGACACAGGCATTTTAGGAGTGAGCAAATAGATAGGAGGTTCTTTCTCTCTCTCTCTCTCTCCTCTCTTTTGGTCTTGTGCTTCTCAAAAATACATATTTAACTTAAGAGAAGAAGTTATGCAATAGTCAAATGATATTGGGACAACAAACAAGTAGGGCAGGTCCAAATTCTCATAATAAATTTAAGATACAGAAAAGAGCTAAATGGAATTTACAAAAACAAGATCCAAAACATTTTAGAAATATCTGGAGAGTGGTTTGTTGGGTTTTTTTTTTTTGTTTTTTAATTTTTTTAAGAATATTGATTTTGTGATTAATAAGATTTTCTTAGAAGCTATAATAGTTAGGACAGGATTGCTCTCATAAGGATTTTATAATAATGAACTGTATAAACTTGATTTAAAAATAACTGATGGACTGTAAAGGGGCACTTTTTTTGTTAATCAGCAAATGCTTATCCTGATATATCAGAAAGTACCAAAAATGTATCAGACCATGATCCACTAAAAACTGATGGTCCCTGAGCTGGGCATTTGGTGTGCATGGCTGAAGATGTCATTTGGGATGCCTGTGTGGCATATTAGACTGTCCCAAAACCACTTTCTAATCTAGCTTCCTTAATTAACACACACCCTTGAGATAGCTCAAGGAGTTGGGGCCCTGCCACCCACAAAGACATGGGTTGAGTTCCAACTTTATGGATTCAGCCTGACCCAGCCAGGAGCCAGGAGATTCTATCAGGTCTTGCAGGGGCCCAAGGCCTTGAGGCATCTTCTACTGCTTTCCAGACCATAGCAAAGAGCTGGATTGGAAGTGGAGCAGCCAGGTGTTGAACCCATGCCCATATGGGATGCTGGCATTGCAGGCAGTGGCTTTACCCACTACGCCACAGCGCCAGGCGTCGTTTAAAAGTCTTTATTTTCTGGGATAACTGTAACTACTCCTGCTTCCTATTAGTTATTTTCTGGTTTCTGTTTCCATCATTTCCCTTTCAGCACTTTGAGTTTGTGTGTTTTACTATTATTTAAGGTAGCATATATTGGGGTCTCCTCTTTTTTTAAAATCCATTCATGCAATCTATATCTTTTAATGGGAGAATTTAGTCCATTTACAATCAAATTTATTAATATCTAAGTACTTGATGCTATCATTTAAATAGTTTTTTTTCTGTTGTATATTTATTTATTTATTTATTTGGCAGAGTTAGACAGTGAAAGAGAGAGAAAGGTCTTCCTTGCGTTGGTTCGCTCCCCAAGCGGCCACCATGGCCGGCACTGTGCTGATCCGAAGCCAGGAGCCAGGTGCTTCTCCTGGTCTCCCATGCGGGTGTAGAGCCCAAGGACTTGGGTCATCTTCTATTACACTCCCAGGCCACAGCAGAGAGCTGGACTGGAAGAGGAGCAACTGGGACTAGAACCGGTGCCCATATGGGATGCTGGCAGTGCAGGTGGAGGATTAAACGAGTGACCCACGGCACCAGCCCTAAAGTTTTTTTCTCTTTGTTCTGAATATCTTAATATCTTTTGTTCTTTTCTTCTCCTGTTTATTCCTGTGATTTGGTCATTTACTGGATTTATGAGATTTTATCTTATTTTTCTTTTGTGTATCTGATTTTCCTGTGGTTTTACACATTCTCATGTTTACATGATGGTATTTATTTTTCTTTTGCTTCTCAATGTAGGACTCTTTACATACATTCCCTGATAAATTCCCATTCAGGCTTGTCTTGGAAAGCATTTCTCCTTCATTTCTGAATAGCCTTCTGAGTATGGTATTCTTGGTTGGCACAGTTGTTTTTCTTTTGTCTAGAACTTAACTTCTGTTATTCCATTCCCTCTTGGCCTTTAAGGTTTCTGCTGAGAAATCTGTTTAGTCTAATGCACGTCCTGTTAAGTGTAATATAGCACTTTTCTATTGTAGTTTTTAGAATTCTCTGTGTTGTACATCTGCTGGTTTGGGTATAAAATGTTAGAATGTGAATCTTTTCTGTGCATGTCTATATCAGGTCCTATGGGCCTCAAGTACCTGGGTGAACACATGTTCACACAATCAGGGAAGATTTAGCTATTATGTAATTGAATAGTTTTTTCTATGCCTTTCTCCTTTTCTTTTTCTTTTGGAGACTCCAAAATTCAAACATTTATTTGTTTAATAGTGTTTCAGAGATTTAACAGTTTTTTTCATTCTCTCCAGATTTCTTTTTCTTTTGTTTGACTTGAAAATCTCTTTTGTATGACTTGAGCCCTGCCTTCAAGTTCAAGTACTCTTTCTTCAGCTTGATCTAGTCTGTTAACTATGTTTCCTATTGGTCTAGTGAATTCTGCAGTTACAGTGTCTGCTGTTGTCTTTTTCAAGATCTCTATTTCTTTGATGAATTTCTCATTGACATCATTGTTTCCAAATTTCATTAAACTTTGTCTATATTTTCTCATATCTCACTGACTTTCCTTATGATCATTCTTTTGAGTTCTTTTCTGGCATCTCATCAATATTTTCTTTGACATCTTGCTATAGAATTATTGCATTCTTTTGGGGTATTATGCTACCATCTTTTCACACTTTTTGTGTCACTGTCACTGTGTTGAGGTTTTGTATATTTGGTCAATCAGTTGTCACTACCTCTTTTATAAGATGGCTTTTGTAATAACTTTCTACTGAAAATGTGTCTTAGGTCAGTAATTTGGTTGGATACATTAGCTTTTGTTCTATGTAGGTACCTTAGTTTAATATACATTTAGCTGCTTCTTTATTCAATGGATTTGGTGTGGCATGTGTGGTGGTAGACTATACCCTGGTTATTGAAGCCACATGAGAGATGGGGTATACTTTTGGCCCAGGTGCGTATGTGTACATAATAGTGATGATGTCTACCTTGTAATTCCCTAGGAATGAGAATGGCGGCAACAGAAATACACAGTGGCATTTTCTCCGCAGCCTTGGTGGAAAATGTAGTGAGCATTTTTTATTGCCAAGTTGAGGCAAGGGCTAAGGATGAGCTGGCTGTGCTGCAGGGTCTATGTAGCACAGAACATAGGTCCTCAGGCCCAGCAGTGGCTTGAGCCAACACTGTACTGGGTGTATCTTCAACTGTTGTGTTCAGGTAGCATGTAATATAAATCCTCAAGCCCAGTGGCAACTCACACTGATTGTGGGTCAGCTGCTATAGTACAGTCTAAGACCTAGTGGTGGTTTCAGTAATATGCAGCTGTGACTATGAGCTAAAGCTTGGAACTTGTGCTCTTGGTCCCAGCAAGAACTGGATTGAGTTTCAGGCTCCTTGCTTTGGTCTGTGCAGCTGTGGCTCTTGTATTTGGAGAATGAACCAGTGGATGTAAGTTTGTATCTGTCTCTCTCTGTATCTCTGCCTTTTCACATAAAAATTTATAAGAAGTAAAAATTCCGAAATTCCATATGTGAATGCCCAATATAGATGGTGGAATTCATCTAGCTAATGAGTCCTATATAAACTTATTTGGTTCTAATGTTGAAAAAAAATATAGTTTCATTCTGTGTATTAATGACAAATTTACCACATCAACCATATAGAAGAGAGCTAATGGAATCAGTGCAGGTAAAATGTATGCCTGTGTATAGTGGTAAATGTAAATTATGTACAAATTTACTCATGCTTGGAATCTATCCTGTCATTGTCCTATGTGGAAAAAAAAAAAATGAAGAACAAAAAGCCCTAAAATATAGACTGACGATTTTCCATGTGACTCACTTTTCAAAATTTGCTAGAGAGAAAGCATTTGACAATGCTTACTATCTTTTTTTTTAAAAAATATTTATTTATTTATTTATTTGAAAGTCAGAGTTTCACAGAGAGAGCAGAGGAAGAGAGAGAGAGAGAGAGAGAGAGAGATATCTTCCATCCGATGGTTCACTCCCCAATTGGCTGCAATGGCCAGAGCTGCGCCTATCTGAAGCTGGGAGCCAGGAGCTTTCTCTGGGTCTTCCATGTGGGTGCAGAGGCCCAAGGACTTGGGCCATCTTCTACTGGTATCCCAGGCCATAGCAGA